GGTTCCCGCAGCGGGATTTAAAAATCCCAAACTTTGCCGTGGTGCAAAGCTCCTCCGGTGAGAGTGAAGTTACTGCTGCGAACTTTTCTGCAGAGATAAGCAAACGCAGAAGTCCTCTTTGCAGCAAGGCTTAATTCCCTGGGGATAAAAAAATGCAATTATTGCAAACCGCTTTTTTTTCCGAAATATTTTTTTTCCCTTATTTATTTATTTATTTATTAACTAGGGCTAATTGTAGTACTGTTGGGGCGACTAATGAGCAAGGTCTGAATCTCAGCTGGGCAGCTATTTTCCCCGTCTCAGCTGCACCTCGAAGAAGGCAGAGGGGTTGCAATTCCAGGCTGCTTTAGTTAACATCGTTTCGTTGGGTTTGCCCTTGTGTATGCGCTTTTGGTTTGGTTTAGTTTTATTTCCTAACGATTAAGCAGCCTTTCCTCCACATGCTGTTGTTTAGAAATGTTATTTAAGTTTTGGTTTTTTTTTAGCATTAAAGGCATTATTTAGTTGGCATGATTTATGAGCCTTTCTCATGGATGTCTGATAGGGAAAAGCTTGGAGTGGTTGCTTTTCTGTTATGTTTGTGCTTCTGGAAAGCACACTTAAAATTACTTTCTCCTGTCTGCAGAGTGTTGTAGATTGCATTTGGGAAAAAAAGTGAGGTAACTGTCTCTTTCTTGTTTCTTGTTTTTTTCTGTTTTCTCCTCTGGTTCTTTCTTGGGATTAACAGGTGACTTTAGCATCGGGACAGTTCGAGTTGGAGATTTTATCCATGCAAAATGTGAATGGTGAACTGCAAAATGGAAATTGCTGTGATGGCACCCGAAACCCAGGAGATAGAAAATGCACCAGAGACGAGTGTGATACCTATTTTAAAGTTTGCCTGAAGGAGTATCAGTCGCGGGTCACTGCTGGCGGTCCTTGCAGCTTCGGATCCAAATCAACTCCTGTCATCGGAGGAAATACCTTCAATTTAAAGTACAACCGGAATAATGAAAAGAACCGGATTGTTATCCCTTTCAGCTTCGCCTGGCCGGTGAGTTGTGTGGCCTGCTCTGGCTCTGCCTCTGTTGGACGGTCTGTTTGAGATGACCATAGTGAGCTGAGCCCTGACTTCTTGCGCAGGGGGAGAGGGACCAGG